CCAGCTATGGAAGTATCCAAAGTAAAGAAGCCTACAAGATTGTAAACAGGGAACCAGAGACATCAATTGACAAATGAGGATAACTACAAACCAAAAAGGGGGAAAAAACTGTGTAGTTACAGAACTTCTAGATGGCAGGGAAGTCAAGAGAACTACAAGATAGAACAGACTGTTCTAAACTTGGGAAGAAAACTATAAATCACAGGGTAACCTCAGAGAAAAATGATAAACCTTCACATCAAAAAAGAGGACCAGCATAAATATTCAGCAAATACTAAAACAATAGCAATGAAGGAAGTGATAACACAATCCATAAACAAAACAAGCTCAGCATAGAGAATTATATGGAATGAAACTAAATGTACACATTACGTTGAATGTAAAACAAGCTCTTAAATAATAATAATAATAATAAAAAGAATTATATGGAACAAAGAAGTCGACACTACGAAAAAGCACATAATAAAAATGACAGCAACAAATTCACATTTGCCAATAATTACATATCTGGCAAGGTATTTATCTCTTAAGATTTATAGCGGAAGAGTGGATGACCAAACTATGGTACATACACATACTGGAATGCTATGCAGCACTGAAGAATAATGGAGAGTCTGCAAAACACCGCATAATAAGGATGAACTTGGAGGACGTTATGTTGAGTGAAATAAGTCGATCACAAAAGGACAAATATAGTATTAGTTCGTTGTTGTGGAGGGTGAAGGAAAGGTTTATATATGGAGGGAAACTTTCTTTGTTGGTTGCCACGGGTGGGAGGGGAGGAGAGGGAACATAGCAAAAAAAAAAAGCATCGACCCATGTCATTTTAGTTTTGTGTATGTCACTGTACATAAATTATATTTCAATAAAAATGTATTTAAAAAAAAAAGACTTACCACATCAGAAAACCAATGGGGGTCGCTAAGTCGCAATCAAGTCCGTGGCAGTGGGTTTGGTTTGGTTTTGATGTCTTCTAAATCCAGAAGAAGCCTATTATTTACTTCTGGCAAAATTTAGCCCCAGTTTCTCCTCAAGTAACACTCACTTAACTTCCTGCTGTAAAAATGCTTCTGTCCTACAATTATTCTATGTGCTAAGAAGTACAAAGCTACCTGGACATTCACACGGATTCTGAATCAACATCTTTTTTTTTTTTTTTTTTAATTGTGATTTGGGTGAAAGTTTACAGAGCAAATTCACTTTCCATACAGCAGTTCACACACACGTTCTCTCATGACATTGATTACAATTTACCCCAATGCAACACCTCCCCTCCCACTTCCTCCCGATAGTTACTTGTTCCCTGTATCCATCCCTCCATGCACTCCTGCCCCCTGATCTGTCTCCCTGTGCATAAACAGCCCTTCTTTCTCCCATGATTTTTCTCTCCAAGGAGTGTATCTACCTCAGGTACAACATCTTTTAATTGCATCATGATAGCATGACTAGTATCAGTTATACCATCCAAATACCTCTCCTAATAGAACATCCTTCAGAGAAAGGGGCAGTGTCAGGGCAACCTGATCAGGCCTGGTGTCTGAGCAATTCTTCATCTTGATGAAGTGCCTTCTAGTCACTTCATCCAAAGGCTGTGCCTAGGGCCAGGCCCCTCCATATTTAAGATTTTTTCATTATCCATTCCACCAGTCTTTCTGGAGATCTCTCACCATCCATGACATCCTTTGGTCTCCTCTGAGCACGTTCTCCAACTGCAAATGAATATGCCCATTGCTCTAATGCATTCTCAGATTTAGCTCATGTCATTTCTGATGGTGCCTTCCCTGACCTCCCCAGGTACAGTGACCCCCATGTGCTTTGTGCCCCTAATTATCCTTGTATGTGCCTCTGCATAGCTCTCTGTATTGCAAGCAAATGCATTTACATCCCTCTACAAAATTGTGACTCTTTAAAAGGAGGAATCAGGTCTTATTTTTGTCTTATCTCCAGCATCTTGCCCTGGCACACAACAGATGCCCAGTAAATGCTGACTGAATGAATGAATGGATGGATGATGATTCTATGAATCTATTGTTCCTCCTCTCAGGCTGCCTACTGACCACTTGGTTTTCCCTCACTTTTTCTATTCTTCCCACACCAAGGCCAGCCTGTCTGTAAGGGAACAAGAGCCCTGCCAGTAATTCCTGGCCTTCTCCTCTTACCTATCCTGGATTTCAAAATGTAGATGTTTGGCTCAGGCCTCTCTCCTGAGCTGCTGCTTCATATATCCAGCTTCTCTTTGAGATTCCACTGAGCTGAATCCCAGGCATCTCAAACTTTGTTGTTATATGCCGTCGAGTTGGACCCGACTCAAAGTGACCCCTCCTTCCGTTTCCGAGGCAGTATCATTATGGAAGTAGATTGCTCAACCTTTCTTCCAAGGAGTGGCTGGGGGGTTTGAACCGCCAGCCTTCTAGTCAGCAGTCAAGTGCCTTAGGCACTACGCTACCAGAGCTCCAAACTGACTCCATTCAACCTAGTTGCTCAAACCCAAAACCTGAGTTATCCTATTCTTTTCTCCTTATTCTCACATACTTCATAGCCTTCTACAGCCAGAGTGACTGTTTAGAAATGCAAATCTGTTCACACCCAATGAGCTTTCACTATTCTTAGAATAAAGACCAAAATCTAGAGTTCTACTTCCAAGTGGCCCCTATCAGAGCAACCTTCTGACAGATAACAATTATAAACTCAGAACAAAATACACAAAAAAACTATATGAAGGCAGTGGAAAGTGAGAAAAAACTGGGTGTCATGGGTTGAACTGTATCCTCCAAAAATATGGGTCATTTTGGCCAGGCCATGATTCTCAGTGGTTTGGCAGTTATGTAATGATGTAATTATCTCCCATGTTGTGATCATTTGTAATTAGCCAATGATTTTTTATAAGGTGATTAGGGTAGGATACACCATCCTTACTCAGGTCATAGCCCTGTAAGGGCAGTTTCTTTGGGATGTGGTCTGCATCACCTTTTATCTTACAAGAGACAAAAGGAGAGAGAAGTGGGAGGTCAGCAAAGAGAGGGATCTCAGTACCACCAAGAAAGAAAAGCCAGGAGCTGAGTGTGTCTTTTCAGCTGGGGTCCCTGCGCTGAGAACTTCCTAGACCCAGAGGAAGATTGATGCCAAGACACCTGGAGATCTCCAAGGGACAAAAGGAGACAAGGACCTTCCTCCAGAGCCAGTAGAGAGAGAAAACCTTCCCCTGGAGCTGTTGCCCTGAATTTGGACTTCTAACCTCCAACACTGTGAAAGAATAAATCTGTGTTTGTTAAAGCCACCCACTTGTGGTATTTCTGTTACAGCAGCACTGGAGAACCAAGACACTGGCTGATAAGGGATGCTTGAAATAAAACAATGATCCTAATTAAATTCTCCTTTTTCTATGGCTTTTAGCCGGAAAGGTGGCTAAAATTAGGATTTATTGGCTTGATGAACCAGAGCTCAGCACCTGAAAAGTGAGGGGGGAATCCCAGAAAGGAGAGAACCATAAAAGAGAAACCTCAAATCTCTGCTGATCCTGAACCACACGCACAGGACTGACTCCAAGTAGCCAACTGAAGCTTGACGACTTGCACACATATTTGAGTTTCCGCCCATTGCAAAGAGGCAGCATTTGCAAGTTGAGTTCAGCCAAGTTAGCTGCCTACTTAAAAATAAGTAAGTACATACTATACCCACTTACATACACACGTACATAGTCACTCTTCAGAGGAACATGAAAAAATTCAGTTTCTGTAACACATCATTACCAATGTTCAGGATACAATATAAAATTACTCAACAAACGAATAAAGAGGAAAATATGGGACGTATACCAAAGAGAAAACACATTCAAAGAGGACCAACTCCAAGATAACACAGATACTGGAATTAAAGCACTTATAGACACCAGAAGTGCATGGAAAAGTGTGAGAACTATTTGAGAAAACTACTCGGTGGGATGGGAGCTCTGGTCGTGTAGTGCCTAAGGCACTTGACTGCTAACCAGAAGGCTGGTGTTTCAAACCCACCAGCCACTCCTTGAAAGGAAGATGGGGCAATCTACTTCTGTAGTGATACTGCCTTGGAAACCCAAGGAAGGGTTGCTATGAGTTGGGTCTGACTCGACGGCACATAACAACTCGATGGGACAGTTAGCTCCTACAAAAATTGGTGATGCCATTCTGGAAGCCTTCCGAAATGCTGCTGAGGTAAATGGAGAAATATTGTAAAGGAACTAAGGTCACCTTGGCTGTTCCACAACACTAGCTGAGAGAGGCAACTTAGTAAGCATCCCCTTCAGTGCTAAGAAAGGTGAGAAGGGCTCCAGCAGGACTTATGGTTACTCTGAAATAAGCTGGTGTGGATCTCTAGATCAGGAGCCAAACACCAGCACACCAAACCAAACCAAACCCACTGCCATCGAGTCGGAACCAACGACCCCTCCTTGGGTTTCCAAGGCGGTATCACTAAGGCAGTAGATTGCATAAGGTTTTTTTGGGGTGGGAGTGGGTGGGAAGGGATATGGTGTGGTGTGGTTTTTTGTTCTTTTGAAGATTGTCTGAGCTATGTTTGCTATTCGTGTTTGCCCTGAGGGCAGAGCTGCTTATAGCTTCCAGCCAGAAAATTATGGAAACTAAAAGTGCAGAACTTGTAAGCAGCAAGAAAGAGGCAAGTGAAACTGGCCTCCTCACTGCAGCACAGGCCTCAGGAGGCTCAGTGGGTGAAGCAGATTAGAAAGAGAAAAGGAAATCATGAAGAATCAAAAATGGGTGCCTTGGACCTAATGAGAAACATCAGGTGCCTAACAGTTGCCCAGCACAAAACACAACAGCCACAGAACAGCTATTCAATCCCTCTATTGAAATGAACTTATATAAAACATCTCGTCTCATCGCTAAATTTAACTTGCAGATTTTCCCGAGAACTCACTCATACTTTTATGATATCCCTGGTATTTCTTTCAAAACTATTCATAAATGTGGATCCAGCTATATGTGCCATCTCAAAACAGTGCTTACCTTTCTTAAGAATCTTCTTCACTTTCACATAGTTCCCTTGTCTCACATATTCATGAAGCTGAGCTTCCAGAGAGTCATTTCTTAAGGAACCGAGCTGAACAGGACAGGGGACTGGAAGATGAACAGGCCGAGACATCCTGTTTCCAAAAGAGAGTAGCATAGCATGCTTATTCTAACTGAACCAGAAACGCAGGAAAACAATGTAGATTTTTCACATTTGGAAACCTGTCCACGTTCATCTATAATGAAGAGGAGGGGTACAGGAACAATTACTGAAACCCTCGAAAATTAATGTTTATCCTTGATGTTATTATTGAAATGTTTCAATTCCGGGGACTGAAAAAGAGAGGAGTACTATGCAATAAAATTAGAAAGATGCACCTTTGTTGTGTTATTAAGGTAAAGAGGACAATGTTGACTTTGAAAGGTGAGTTCACAAACGCAGTCATTATACAGGAGGGTAGAAAGCCTAACGGAATAGTTCAGGTTCACAATTCCAACTCTGAAGTCTGTCCTGGTTCTGCCACCTCCTTGTGTGACTTTGGAGAAATTATTCAGCCTCGTAGGCTTCCATTTCTTCATCTGTATAAAGGGGTAATAATAAGCAGGGTGTTACTGAGAGGTTTAAAAGAGTAAATACAGTGCTTATAACTGTGCCTGGTACTGAGACAGAGTGAAACTGCGAGCTGTCACTATGCCTGGTAAGACCCATGTAGAGAACGCTCCACATGTGGCATCCACACCTGACCATCATACAATTAAGTGTTCACAGTATACTACCATTGCCCTAAATGTGGCATGGGTCGTGTAAGACACCTACAATTAGATTGCTGCTATCACACTGCTCACCATCTAGCAGGGCAGACAGGTGGCACCACGTTGGTGCTCCGTAAACAGTGGGTAAGAGGAAGATGCCTAATCAGCAAGCATGCCTTTCAGGGCCTGAGTGCTACATGCAGAAGCACAGAGGGTGCTGACAGGAGCTGAGGTAAAAGAAAAAGTAAGAGCTGACATGTACAGTGGGTCTTCGCCAGCCAGGAGGTTTAAGGGGTTATAGGTTAATGAGAAGCAATACCTTTATCTACTGACAAAGTGTGGAAAGTCCTAATAAAGTAGAGCTTTTACTTAATTTCCTTTGGTATCTGCTAATATCCACGTCAGTGACCACAAATAGCATCCTAGGAATCCAGTAACATGACAATATTTTTAAGCAAACAAAACTGACTCAGTGTTTAGTTTTACATAAATATGAAGTGAACATTTTATAGTAATTTGTCACTCTTCCCACTGTGCCTTCAGTCTATTTCCAGGTATAAAACGAGTGGTATTTTTCCATTATAATTTGGACAGCTATTTAATAATTCAACTGCTCATACGCAAGTTCAAGTTGAACCTGAAGAAAATTAAAACAAGTCCATGAGAGCCAAAATATGACTTTGATTATATCCCACTTGAATTTAGAGACCATCTGAAGAATAGATTGGATGCTTTGAACACCAGTGACCAAAGAACAGATGAGCTGTGGGATGACATCAAGAACATCATACTTGAAGAAAGCAAAAGGTCAGGAAAGGAACAAAAGACCAAAACGGATGTCAGAAGAGACTCTGAAACTTGCTCTTGGGCAGAGAATAGCTAAAGCAAATGGAAGAGATGATGAAATACAAGAGCTGAACAGAAGATTTCAAAGGGCAGCTTGAGAAGGCAAAGTAAAAGTATTATAATGAAATGTGCAAAGACCTGGAATTAGAAAACCAAAACGGAAGAACACACTTGGCATTTCTCAAGCTTAAAGAACTGAAGAAAAAATTCAACCGTTGAATTACAAAGATTCTATGGGCAAAATACTGAATGATGCAGGAAGCAACAAAAGAAAATAGAAGGAATACACAGAGTCACTATACAAAAGAAAATTAGTCAACAATCAACTGTTTCAGGAGGTAGCATATGATCAAGAACCAATGGTACTAAAGGAAGAAGCCCAAGCTGAACTAAAGGAACTGGTGAAAAACAAGACTCCAGGAATTGATGGAACACCCATTGAGGCGTTTCAACAAATGCATGCAGTGCTGGGGGCACTTACTCATTTACACCAAGAAATTTGGCAGACAGCTACCTACCCAACCAACTAGAAGAAATCCATATTTGTGTATATTCCAAAGAAAGGGGATCCAACAGAATGTGGAAGTCATCAAACAATATCATTAATATCACACCAAGTAAAATTATGTGGAAAATAATTCAAAAACAGCTGCAGCAGTATAAAGACAGGGAACTTTCAGAAATTCAACCTGGATTCAAAAGAGGATGTGGAATGAGGGATACCATTATTGATGTCAGATGGATCTTGGCTGAAAGCAAAGATACCAGAAAGATGTTTACTTGTGTTTTATTGACTATGCAAAGGCATTTGACTGTGTGGATCGTAACAAATTAAGAATAACATTGTAAAGAATGGGAATTCCAGAACACTTCATTGTGCTCATCAGGAACCTGTACACAGATCAGGAGACTGTCATTCAAACAAAACAAGGGAATACTGCATGGCTTAAAATCAGGAAGGGAGCATGTCAGGGTTATATCCTTTCACCATACTTATTCAATCTGTATGCTGAGCAAATAATCCAAGAAGATGGACCATATGAAGAAGATCATGGCATCAGGATTGGAGGAAAACTCATTAACAACATGGGATATGCAGATGACTCAACTTTGCTTGCTGAAAATGAAGATGACTTGAAGCACTTACTGATGAAGATCAAAGACTACAGTCTGCAGTATGGGTTACATCTCAACATAAAGAAAACGAAAATCTTCACAACTGGATCAATAAGCAGCATCATGATAAATGTAGGAAAGACTGAAGTTGTTGAAGATTTCATATACTTGGTTCCACAATCAACACCTATGGAAGCAGCAGTCAAGAAATCAGATGACGAATTGCACTGGGCAAATCTGCTGCAAAAGACCTGTGTAAAGTGCTAAACAGCAAAGATGTCTCTTTGAAGACTAAGGTGTGCCTAACCCAAGCCATAGAAGCTCTGGTAGCATAGTGCCTAAGGCATTAGACTGCTAACCAGAAGGCTGGAGCTTCAAACCCACCAGCCACTCCTCGGAAGGAAGATGGGGCAATCTACTTCCACAGTGATATTGCCTCGGAAACCAAAGGAGGGCTCACTGAGTCGGGTCCAACTTGAAGGCATATAACACAACCCAAGCCATAGTATTTTCAATTGCCTTATATGCATGTGAAAGCTGAAGAGTGAATAGGGAAGACCCGAGAAGAGTTGATGCTTTTAAGTTGTGGTGTTGGCAAAGAATTCTGAAAATACTATGGACTGCAAGAAAAACTAACAAGACTGTCTTGGAAGAAGTGCAGCCGGAATGATCCTTGGAAGTGACAGTGGCCAGACTGTCCCACCTACTTTGGTCATGTCGTCAGAAGGGACCATTCCGTGGAGAAGGATATCATGCTTGGTAAAGTAGGTCAGCAAAAACGGGGAAGGCCCTCAAGGAGTGGCTGCAACGATGGGCTCAGGTATAGCAAGGATGGTGAGGCTGGCACAGGATGTGGCAGCTTCATTCTAGTGTACAGAGGATTGCTACTAATTGGAGCACCTAACAACAACAACAACATATAAAGTATGTTCTCCTAGATACTACTACATATAACATTAGCTCTGTTAACTAGATTAGTTAATGAGAATTAACTCTTAGACACAAAAAACTTAACTTCGGTGATGTAAATGGCACAAGATCAGCAGTTCAGACTCACCACTCGTTACTCAGAAAGTACAATTAGGCCCCCAAAGTGAGTATCATATTACTCAGTAATTAAGAAGCTATTAAGTCTGTTTTTTTAAACCAGTTCACAGGGGAAAGCGCGAACGCAGTCCCCCACTACCACAAATTATGCAGTCGAGTTTCCCACATTTGGGGAAATCGCAGGGGTCAGCACATCCGGAGTGCAATGGATAAGCCTCGCCCTGGGAAAACCACCTTCGTGATCATGGTATCTCCCCTGCCAGGTAAGTATGAGTTGTTGATTGCGCCTGTTCGTTCACTCTTGTTCTCAACACACTGTAAATCATGGTGAATTATATTCTAAAATCTCTGCGCCCTCAAGTAGAGATTACAAGATTCCTCAAATGATACAGATCAGACCATCTCCTTTTATATAATCGCTAGAAACAGAACTATTTCAGCCTCGCGAGGACACTGCACGAACCGACAGTCACTGCGCCTGTCATCTACATATCTCCGCCTCTTACAGAGACGCCACGAGCCACCCTGTGGCCTTCCTCCTTTACGGTAGTTTCTGGATAAATTCGTTGTAGCGACACCCTGCGACAATCTGAAAGACGTGTAATCGGCAGCTGTGGCTAAAGAGTTTTAGAAATTCCTTCTTTTCGGGTACATGGAAAGGTCTTGGAGATTTGTAACATACGAATGTGAATCCTGCAAAGCATTTTGGGAGGCGGTGGCGTGGTGGCAGAGCTGAAGGCGGCGGAGTTGGTTACGCTCCACTCTGGGACTCGCTCAAACTCTCAATATCTTACCGTTTCCTAAATTGTAAAATAGATATAATACTGCCTTCATACCTCACAAGGTTTGTGTGAGGCCTGAATAAGAGAATGCGTGCAAGACGCCTCGCGAGCGCCCCTCTAGGTCATTCAACTCCCTGGGCGTGTTTCCCTGGACAGGTGCCCCATTTAGTTGGGGCCGCCAAACTGGCTTCGCCAAGATTCTAATTTCTCCAGGCCCTGGTGCAAAGATGAAGTATCTGGCCTGAGATGAAACATCTTCTTTAACAAACCAAGTGCTCGTCCCTTCTTTTTACACCCAACAAGAATACATGACATTGTGTTTTCCTTTCTGCCCTTGCAGTCTAGGCACTCCTGACCCAAAAAAGAAGAAGAAAAAAAAAAAGTTTGCAGCAACTTACTTCCTCCTAGTCTACTTGGTTTCTTAAGAAACTTTATCTTATATTTGTGTTTTGGAGATTATTTTTAAATTATAGCAATAGTGTTTGGGAGGAGGGGAGGCCTTGCAGATAATTTGGGGAATACAGAAAAAAAACTTAAACTAAAATCCCACTATGAATTACCACTGCTAACACTTTTAATATGCTAATTC